GGGTCCTCCGGAGGACCCGGCCTGTCGTTTTGGACACAGCTATTGACTGACGTGTAAAAAACATCCTGTTTTCACCGTCGCTGAATGTAGTAAACACCTCTTCAGTGACGTGCACAGTTAGATTTAACGCAGTTAGTTAATATGGAGACGTTATGCTGATGGAGATTTAACGTGGTTTTATTGTGAAAAGCACAGGGAAGTAGTTCGTAGTGGAGTTGGAATTGACTGGTGTGCAAGGTGAGTCGTGGTGATAAGCTTTAATAAATAACATAAAACAATAAACCAGATCATAATCTTTTCTTAACCCTCCTCCTTCATGACTGGACCAAAATGCGTGACTACTGTCTCCRACCACCAGTCAGAGAAGAACAGACACAGAGGAGGGAAACAGAGACACAGACAGAGATACAGTAAAAGAAAAAAAGTCAATAAGCAGGGTTTGTACATTTTATTATCAGCTGAGGTGTGATGAAAAAAATACCATCAAATACCGTGAAACCGGTGAAAATGTTGAAAATTCCGTGATATAAAATTTTGATCATATCGCCCAGCTCTATGTGGAAGGCAAGTTCTGCCTTGCAGATATTGCACAGGTTTCTCTTCACTTTCTTAAAATGATCCCACACTTTTGAGCTCCATTGCCAGGTAGCCATTGCCTGTCTGTATGATGTCTTGTGACGTCCACGGCCTACCCCAGTTACCACTACTGCACATGTGTGTCGAGGACAGAAAGGCAGATGTGGCAGTGGAAGGTGTGTAAGACCTCATTTTGTAATAACAACGCATTATGCAATAATGTAATAAAATCAGGCTTCAAAATGTAATAAACTCACGCTAAAACCGCATTATATAATAATTGACACAAGATGTAATCAAACTCTTTAACACATTATGTAATAACGTTATTACATTTTGCAGCAATTGTCACAAAATGTGGTAGTGTAATATAATCTGGTGCATTATGTAATAAACAATCAAAAACCAGTATTTCTGTTCATCCTAATCAATATACTTGTTATAACTGTCATGTTGCAAATACTACACAATTAAATCTTTATAACTTTGGTCAATAAACACCAAACTTCTCATCTTTTATTTGCATTTTCAGTCAAATTCTAGTGTATTATTCTAAAAGTCATTCAAGGCAGAATGATCAAGACATGTAAAACATTTTTTCCAACACATTAGCTTTTGGAAAAATGAAAATCTGTGCTTTAAAAAGCAAAAAAATAATGTTTCTGTTGGTATTAAATGAAAGAAGCATATGATCCAACAGTTTAATGCAAACAGAATCCCAGCAATTTCCTGGACTTAAATAATGTGTAACATTAGTGAACCGCTTATAAATAAGGAAGGAACACATTAAACTATATAAAAATTTTTGTCTTACTCGGAGCTGTGCAGGAGTTTCCACTAGTTCGAGGACAAAAACATGAACTTGAAACCATAAGGATGCAACTCAGGGTCATTATGAAAACTGAACAGCAGGGGTGCTTCTGTGAAGACTGGTTTTAGAGCGCAGGTACGTCTCTTTATTTAGATGTCCTGTCAATAATGTAAGATGCAGCCTCACCATACAATTCATGTTTCAATACAACAATGTCAAGTGTAAGGATTGTCCATAATATACACAGATTTTAATGTCTTTTTGCAGGTATGGATGTATAGAGCAATCTCACAGATTTTTTTCATGTTTTATGGAATTTTTCAAAAACATAGTTTCTAATTTATTCAATATGCCAGAGCCTTTAGAACATTAAAAATAACATATATCCACTTCCAACCCACACTATAATAAGTTCTCATTTCCTTCTGATATTACAGCCGACAGTTCTCCTGCACCC